TGCTTCTACCAATCTCTGTCAATGGAAATTATTTACCAAAATGAACGAAATGTTGTGACTGTTGAAGGGCTCTTAAGTATGTTTCCTTGCCATTCCTTAATCTGAGCTTTCTGCAGCTAAATAAAACCCTTCAAATCAAACTTCCCTATGCTCCACCTCAGAAACAGGAAAATGTTTGGGCGTTTCCCTGTGCTTTTTCATCATTAGGAAGACGCTGTGCACCAGCCTTCTGGCTTCTAGGATGATTCAGATGTTTCAGAGTTTACTGGCTACTTGGGGATCTCTGTGTTCAGACCTTAAAAAGTAACTTCAAATATGCATGTCTTGGTATGCTTATAATAATGTTTAGTATAGTAAATGTAAAATTGTACTTTATTCATACAAAAATTACAAATTTACTGAGATTATTCTTGAACATTTTTAAAAGTTACAATATTACAAGTAAACCAAGATCTGTGTAATAACACTTTAGGAATATAAAGGCTGATTTATGTTTCTAAAGCCACCCTTCTCAGCATGTTGGTGTTTGGATATTTTGGTCCACACTGTCCAGCATTCCTGGCCCTTGGCTGTGCTGCTTAAGGCTGATGGCAGCGGAAATTCGAATTACCTGGTGGGCACCAGATTGTGGAAGAACATCCAAAAGCAACAGCCTGGCTTTAGATCTGTAGATCTTAAGTGTTTTCTCATTTTTCCGCAAATTTTTGTGTCCCCTCCAAAAAAAGAGTGTTTTTTTTTCCTTTTTACATGGCTTCAAAATGTCCAAGCATTTTACATCTGCCTTCCCTGTTTAGCAGTCGCTTTGCAGGATGCTGAATTTTAAATTTGTTTTGGCTGTAATGGATAGGCCTTTATAAAAATACTCATTAAGTGGCAGCTAATGCGGGTTTTCCATCCAATGTTGGCGAGGAACCTCAGTTCGATCTCTGAGTGCAGCAGGGTTTGAGACTATGTGGAGGTAATGCCCAGATCGCAGGCAGCATCTTGTGGTCTTGAGGAGGAGGCCGCTTCTGCACCCTTTGCCCCATTACATCCCATATGCCTGGTGACAGGTTCCTCTGGTGTGGAATTCCTGAAGCTGAGCGCACACAGCCCTTTTGCGTCTGACTTTGGGTGAGGCGAAGGCAGAGCTTCCTGGCGCACTTTGCCAGCCGGGTGTTTGGATGGCAGGGAGACGCGAGGCAAATAAGGGGAAAGGAATTGGCATGTTTTTGCTTGTATGTGGGAGCTGGAGAATGTCATACCTGACTGAGCGGGGAAGGCACATGGAGTGGGAGAGACTGAAATTGGTAATTGGTTTCCAGTTTGGAAGCAATTTTGCCTTTGCATAAAACCTGAGTGCTGCATACTGTTCACAGCTATTTCTGAGGTTGGAGGGAGAGGTTCCCAGATGCTGGTATTAAAAGCAGTAGTGGACCAAAGGAGGAAGTGAACACGTGACCTGGACAAGATTAAGGGTATTTTCAGAAAACATCCCAGTAATATTAAGATAGTAGTGACCTGCTTACCTTGGGTAACTGTTGAGAGTTTACTGGACTAAAATCTTAGCTGGCTCTTTGACCTCCACTACTCTGTGGGCGTGTCCTGGTGGCCACTGTTTAGTATACTATTCTTAATTAAGCTTCCTTACAGTGTTCTGCCAGAGGATGAGGTAGCAGTGGGTGTGAGCTTGGGTGGACTCCAGGGGATGGTGGAGGACAGGAGGGCCTGGAGGAATGTTGTCCACGGGGTCGCGATGGGTCGGGCACGACTTTGCGACTAAACAACAACAATGTTCTGAGCTGTTATAGGTCTTTATCTTCCTCCCAATGTTTCCTAGTTTGTGCATAACTACCCATGTCATAACTAAACAATGTCTGTGTAGAAGTGAGCAAGCCTACTTGACCATTAGCCTGTTCCCACATCCCAAAACAACCCAGGAACAACCCTGTTCCTACATTGTGTTCCACGATGCCAAAACTCTGAATAGTTGAGGGAAAGATAGCCCAGAGTTTTAATCTGGTAACAAAGTATGGGATTAGATAAATATATAGAGAGGAATGCATAAAACTCCAGTTGCTTACAGGAGTAGCTAACAGTTATTCCACCAGGCTGGAATGATTAGTGACTAGAGTGTATTCTCTTCTGTGTATTCTGAATGTTGAAAGGTTGAGAACTGAGGATTCTGCAGGAAGTTTCTTCTAGTTGTGTGGGTTCATCGGATGCGTGCCACAGAGCATTAGCCATGCACCTAGGTCTGACTGGCCCCGTGAGCTTTCGTGCCCATCTTGAGTTCTTTGCTTTATGTAGGAAAGGCTAAGTTCATTCACAATAACTGTTGGCTGTTCCATCAGGGGGCTCATAGTCCCCAATTGTAGATGTGTCCCAAATGGGGACCATTTGTCATGACCCGAACTCACATTTATCCAATCTGTGTGGGTAATTGAAGTTGCCTGTTACTTCAAAGCCTTTTCCTCTGGAGGATGGACAGTCTGTTCTGACAAGCCTTGGACCACCTCATGGACATAGTGCAGGCCTGAAGATGAACATTTCCTTATCCCCAGCAGAGCTGCAGCTGCACATAAGGGCTGTCAAACTCTTCAGTGGTCATCCAAGCATTTTAAGGCCTCTCTGCTGTGACCACTGACAAGGCGGACACCATGTTTTAAGCAGTCTAGAACTTAGTTCATCCTTATTTTGCATCACATCACCCCTGTGGGGGTTCAGCCCACCCAGGATGACACTTCCTTGGTGTATTGGCTCAGCCGGACCAGTTCAGAAATTCTGACCCTGTGTTAGGAGCTGGTCTCTCGCTCTCACTTGCCTTGTGCCTTCCAAGCACATCAAGAGGAGAGGCTTCTGGCTACAGGCTGTTACGTTAAAGGCTGGGTTTGTGATATTGAAGGAGTATTCAGAAGTCATTAGCAAAGGCCATCCATCAAGTTAATAAGGCAGCTAGTTAGAGAAAGTACCTTCTCCCTTTCCAACCAGACAGAATCAGCTCCATCTTCAGAGAGGCTCTTGCTGCTTTGGGGCCAGATAGCAGGAATGCCAGCCATTCTTCATTTGACCAGCACTCTCATGCTGGCACCAGACAGTGAAATTTATTTAATTGCATCTCTTCTTCTGGGGTTCTGCTTGTTCAACAGTGTCTCTCCCTGAGCCAGTAGTAATCTGGTTCCCACCAGCTGCTTGGTTTATTTCAGAACTTTATTGGTCTTAGTATTTCAGCTAAGAATTCTGACCCTCCCCTTTTCCAGTTCAGATTTGGAGTCTGAGGTAACCGCCCTGGAAAGTTGTATTTCAGAAGAAGCAGGCTCCATCCTCCCCACGCCTTGTGGGTGGTTCATAGCCAGTTTCGTTGGGGAAAGGATGCTATCAGGCACTGCTTTTGCATCTCCAGTGCCCAGTGTTGCAGCAAAGTGAGAATAAGCTGGTCATCTCTTTTGGGATATATTCCAGTACAGGTGGATAGGGCAGTTCCTGTACCTCGGGGATCAGCAATATAGTGTATTTCAGGTGGTTTGGACCACAACTCCATAATTCCTGCACAGGGTTTCAGAGAGTTGTGGTCCAAAACATAAGGGGGCATCATGTTTCCACTGGTCTCACTCATTGCGACAACTGTTGTGATGCAGGGGTATGGGGTCAACTGCTCAACTTTTGTTCGGTTCAACAGCCTCAGTCCTGATCCCTGTTGTCCTTCTCCAGAGAGGATTATTCCAGCTCCTGGATGCTTGAAATGTGCAGAAAAATTGGATTAATGCTAGAGCTTGCATTGATTAAGATCTCCAGATTTAGTTATTTATTTATTTATATCCTGCTTTTTCCTACAAAGGGCTCAAGGCAGCTTACATCATTCTCCTCCTCCATCTTATCCCCACAACATGTGTGGTTTCATTTGTTAGTTTACTGAAAAGTTTGTTTTCCGCTATTGAGTGGGTCATCATTCTGTTTTTTCCTCTTCTGTTGCCACGACATTTTATGCAAGGGGTTGTTGACTTTTGCCCTGTGGTTCATATCCCTAATCCCCACCTACATGGAGTCTTTCATCATTTGAGCTAAATAACTTGAGCCCCTTGCTAGTTGTGAACAGCATTTTCTGTCTACAAAAGTAGCCTTTCCAGTGGCTCTCTGATCCGCTTTTCCAACACCACAACTTGCCTCAACAGCCCAGAGAGCCCTGGAAGCGTCAACGAACGCGGTCAGTGGCCTAATGAACAGCTTTTGATTGCATCAGGCCCTGGGTGGCAGTGCCTTTAGTAAACTAGGATAAATGGCAATGGCGTTAAGCCCCTTTGCTTGAGCTTCCCAGATCATGTCACCCACTTGCTTTACTGGCATTAACAAGTGCAAAATGCAACCTGGAGTACGTGATTTGATCCATGTGCGACTGAGACAGTGACTTGCTGTGGACTTGGCATCTCAGATAAAATGAAAGAAAGGCTGTTTCTTGGAACCTCCAGAGCAAAGGGAATTTTGCTATTTAATGGAGGCCTAAACAACAAACTGTGGCCAAACCCCTCTCTCTTTTTCCCCCCTGAAGGAACAATGGCTTGGTGGCTCCCAAATCTGTAGGGTGGTGTAGCCACGCCAGGTGTCAGGCTGCTTAACCTGTTTTGGGGATAGCTTCAGTAAGAGGGATAGGTAACTCCTTAAAGTCGAGACTGAAATCCAGAAGAGACCCTTCCCCACTGATGCGGAAGTCCCCAACCTCCGCTATTTCTAAGTAAGCATGTGGAGCCCTGATCTGGGCTGGGGCCACCATGTGTGGATAGGAGAAGTTTAACCCTTCCTGCTCAGCTGTCCCCACATCTGATGGTTAGAAAGGGAGTGGAGCCCCTGGTGTCCGTGGTGTGGTATCGGGAAGCGTGTGTTGTGTTAGACGCAATGCTGGAGAAAAGGGTGCAGGTTGTACCAGCGGCCAAAAGGGAGACGCCTCTTGGTAATGATGCCGCGCAGAGAAGCGCTCCAAGGTACAGGAACCTGCGGGAGGAATGAATATTCTGTCATGAAGCCAAGGCATGCGCTAGGTTAGTATGCATACGCCAAGGGCAGCCACATCCTGCTGCACTGCTGGGGTGCGTGACCGCGGGATGTTTGATCTTGACTGAGGATGATTTTGAGGGTGCTGTGAGGCAGGAACGCTACACGTGGAAGGTATTTGGGGATGACATGTTTGATGCGTCTGTGATATAACATGGCAGAAGAGCGTTTGCTTAAAGTTTTCAAAGTCATTGTCAAGCTTTAGTTGACAGAATTTTAAAGTAGTTACCAACTACAAAATTATCCAAGCTACTTTGCAGTTTATTGACTTCCTGAAGGTCACGGCATCTATTACATGGTGTAACTTCAAATGGAGCAAACTTGAGACGGCAGAGTTTGTCATCATTCAGTCCCCTGCACGGAGAGAGGGTTTCCTGCTGTCAGACTCTGCCCAAGATGTGTTACTGTTTTGCCCAAGCCATGTACTTTTCTTACTGCTGTGTGATAGGTTTTGAAATCACTGTGTTTCTTGCCTTTCCAGAATCTGAGAAGATTGCTGTGATGCGTGGGCAGTGGTTTATTGATGGCACTTGGCAGCCTCTAGACGAAGAAGAAAGCAATCTGATAGAGCAAGAGCACCTCCGCTGCTTCAGAGGGCAACAGATGCAGGAGAACTTTGACATGGAGGTATCGAAGCCTGTGGATGGAAAAGAGGGTAAGAGGCGGCTGCCCAGAAGGCGCTGCTAAATGTCTCTTCTTACTGGAAGAACACAACGTCTGTGTTCATACTTGGTGTATTCTGCTCAATTAGTCATTACTTGCCATGGTCTGTTACTGGCATAGACTCTACCATTCCCAAATTATTGCTTATATTATCTGTAATGCCATGTAGGAAACATATATTCTTTCTCTCTCCTCGTCCCCGTCCCCCCCTCCCCCCGGTCATCTTTAGTTAAAACCATTTTTCTTACATTCATAGTAAGCTTAGGTCTGGAAGTTCTCTCACGTTTCAAGCTCTCCCAGTATTCTGGAAAAACCAGCCAGTGCCTTTTGCTCTGGCAAACAGAGACCAAAAATTATTTTTTCTTAATTTTCAGTCAGTGCATGCTTAACCTAAGTATTTGAGTTATAGTCTTCGTATCATTTATATTCTTCACATCATTTTTGATCGAACGAAATGCTATTTTGATATGGCAAAGTTTTGCATAATAATTGCTTTGCAAGTTGGGATAAGGAAGCAATATGGCTGATTAAATAGTGGTTGCCTATTCTTTGACTGCAGAGTATTCTGCAAAGTGAAGACTGTCACAGCACAAGTGGCAGCTTACCTTGAGAATGTCATGATGGTGTAATCGCTTAGCAGGCTCCTTGCCCTGTAGCAGCTACGGGCAAACCTAGCAGTGCAGCAAAACTGATTCTGCCACCCACCCACCCACCCACCCGCAGTAAGAGTTGCAAGTAGTGACAAGCAGGAACACAGGTGCTCGCATTAACAGAAATGTTGCCTAAGGTTTTACGAAGTTAGAGAATTTCATTATAATTTTCTTAGAGTTAATCACGTTATTTTCGCAAAAGCTGCCAGTGTGTTGTAGTTGGCATACCTCTCATCAGTTATCTATTTTGTTTTAATAAAGTCAGTGCTTTAAAAAGACTTTCCAAGTAATGGTCAGGACAGTTAACCAAATCTCTCTTGACCAGGCAGATCCTCAGTCCCAGGAGGTTGCTTGTTAGACCCTATGAAGTAGCTGCAATTCACCTGCTTTGTGCAGAACAGTACAGCTGTTGTGAGTGAACAGAGCAGCAGAACTGGCCCAAGGCCACGCAGGGGCACAGCTTGCTTTATTTGCGGCGTGCTTTGCATCATTTCGGCCTGCTGTCCCATCTTCTGCTGCGTCATCTCCTTTCCCTCATCAGTTGATGTTGCTTTGCTTTGCTAGGTTGAGGCTTTAGCGGTAGGCGGCTACTGGAAGAAAGCAGGGAGAAAACAGATGTCCTTTTTGCCTCGTGGGCAGGCTGAGACCCAGCGGCAGAGAAATGTTCAGAGTCATTGTTTCTTGCCATTTAATTTCCAGTGAAGAGTTGTTAGTACATTAAATGGCTTTGTAAAATATTTTGGCTATTTGGACAGGCGGTGCCAAGTGAAACAATCTCTTGATAGTCGTGGTTGGGTGTTTTGTCTCTTTGTTAAGTGACTGGATTTTTTTCCCTGTTACAGTCTCAGTACAATTCACAGATTTCATTTAAGATCTGCTTGTGTGAAACTGGATGTGCATCTGTCTTGCGGATGATAAACCTGTAAAGCTAGTTTTAACAGGCTCAGAGGCTGCGAGTCTCGTTTCCATGCTGGCTGCAGGGAAGAGTGACCCTCCATCTCCGTGGCCAGGCATGTAAATGCAGGCGACCTGTCTTTCAGCAGGCTTCTGGGATTGCGTGGCTGCTCAGCTCGGTCATTGAACAGCAGGGAATTCCTTGCCACCTACGGTTACCAGCTTAGCTGTGCTAAACAGCAAGCAAAATGCACTTTGCAGTTTGGATGGGTGTTTCCTTTGGTACATAGTGGGGAAGTGGGATCAGGTGGGATCACAGCTGGCTTTCCTCCAGCCCTGCTGGCTTATGTATGTTGGGTGAAGCATTTGCTCGCAGCCCATGCTCATCATCATCATCATCATCATCATCTGCATAGTCAAAGCTCGTTGGGCAGCTGTAATGAATGTGTGGGTGTCCAGCCTTCATGAAAGCAAGACGTGAAGCATCTGCTGTTGGATCACAGCAGTGATCCTGCCATCGTCTCCTGCAGCAATAGGGGAAATATAATTTGTCAGTATGTTTTCTTGAACTTTGGTTAGTGAAAAGCTTGTCTTGTAGGCCTGCTTGTTTTAATATGGAAGGTATAATAAACTGTTTAAGATTCCGTTGAGTTTATATTACTTATCCTAGTGAAATTCAGTTCAGCGGGACTTTCATTCAGGATTTCAGTGTTAAAGGCAGAGATTTTATCAGCTCCCAAAGGAGACCAAAAGCCAAATGGAGTATGGAGGGATGGGGATGGGGATGGGGCATTCCAGGAGTCCTATCCTCCTAGCCTAACCTTTTCCAAGAATTGGGTCTTCCAAGAAGAAATCTGATTGTTGCAACACAAACTGTAGGGGATAGAATCAGTCTTGCTAAACGGTTGAAGAGAGCAGCAGCAGCAAAACCTCCCAAACTGAAATTTCCCCTGCAGCTGGCTTGCAGTTTGCTTATCCTGCTTATTATTCCAGAATATCTCATTCTGCCCCAAAGAGAGGAACCCCAAGCCTTGCCTACTGTTTTGGTGGCCTGCCAGTTATAAGTGTCGCCCATTATCTTATGGTAGGGACCTGGGAGAATAGCAAGCGGGAACTGCATTGAAAGTCCGTAGTGACGTGGCAAGCGCTGCCGGTGGCACAGTGCAGTCAGGTTTCCAATACGTGGCCATAATGCAGCCCGTGCATACATGTTCGGTTTGGAATGTAGTTTTGTGGTTTGATTAGGGTTTGCCAGTGACCGGGCCCCCCTTTTGGATGTGCACTTTAATCTGATGAGAGGATGTGAGAGCATGAAAGAAGCCAAAAGGGACGCCTCCAGGAGGCCAGACTCATTCAGCGTTGAATGGTGGAAGCCGAGACGGCAGACGAAGATGCATCCACCCTCCTCTGGAAGAATGGGCACATCAGCAGAAGAGCATGGCTATCCCTGAGGAAGTTGGGGCGGAGAAGCTACTGGGCAGCAGCGGTAGCTGAAAGCAACACTGGTGGAGAATCTTTCACAGACAGCAGCAGTGAAGCTCAAGCTAACTCTGGTTAGTCCTGTGCCAAAGAAGGCGATGGGACACTTCTTCTGGAAGTGCATAACTGAACTGAACTCAATTGGCCATGAACTAGAAGAACTGTGAACTGAAACCAGAGTCAGTCCTAGGGGGAAGTTCCAGAGGACAATTCCTGGCAAATGGTAGAAGAAGCCTGGATGGATGATGGAAGAAACTCACAGAATTACTGTGGACAGTTGGCTAAATGGGAGCCAACAAAGCGATGCAGCCTCCAAAAGGGCAAACGCTATTTTGGGGTGTGTTAATAGAAGCTGCTGCTGCTAGTTGCGAAGTCGCATCTGACCCACCACAACTCCATGGACAGCACTCCTCCAGGCCTCCAGGAAGTATTGCTTCCAAATCATTAGAAGTAATAGTTCCCCTATACTCTTAATCACACCTCATCTGGAATACTGTGTGCAGTTCTGGGCACCAAGATTAAAGAAAGATGCAGGAAAACTAGAAAGGGTCCAGCAGAGGGCAACGAAAATGATCTGGGGTTTGGAAACACTGCCCTGTGAGGAGACACTGAGAGAACTGGGCATGTTCAGCCCTGAGAAAGGGAGAAGACTGAGGGGGGACATGATATCCCGCCATAAGGACCTCAAAGGCTGCCACAAAGAGGAAGGCCAAGGTCTCTTCTCGCTGATGCCGGAGTGCAGGGCACGGAGTAATCAAGTCAAGTTGCGACAACCCAGATTCAGGCTGGACATCAGGAAAAGCTTCCTCACTGTCAGAGCAACACGGCAGTGGGACCAGCTGCCTGGAGGGGTGGGGGGCTCTCCCACATTGGACACATCCAAAAAGAAGCTGGACAGCCTCTGAGTGGGATGGTGTAACGTGGTGTCCTGCAGCAGCAGGGGGTTGGACTCGATGGCCTTCATGGCCCCTTCCAACTCTACCAGTCTGTGTTTCTAGAATTTTAGCAAATTTGAATGGGCTGACTTTGCAAAGCTGTGCTGGCTGGACCTGGGAGAAGAACTCTGCATTCAGCAGCACCCCCCTTATTTAATTTGAGCCCCATCTTTCCATGAGGCAAAATGGCGCTTATGGCAGCTGTTGCCCTGTGTGTGGTCCCCGTCCAGTTGTAGCAGTGCCCCCAGGTGTGTGTTTGTGCCTGCAGTGCCCACTACAGAATTGAGGAGCAAGCATTTAATGCCTCAGTTCATGAGGACAGTACCTGAGAAACCCATGCTAATTTCTAAAACCTGGTATTTATTCCATTATTTTGAAAGGGTTGACTATAATGTGATCAACTGTTCGTAGCTAAGACCCAAATATATCAAGTGGTATTTGAGAGAGCAAGCAAGTTGCCTTGGTGTTTATCTTAGAAGTCCTAAAACAGTCCGGACTGCTGCAAATTTGGTTCGCAGGGAAGTGCCCCAACTCTGGATGGCGAGAAGCGCTTTTTAGTGCCTGTGCTTGCAAGGCATTTCAGGGGGCGCCTGCTTTTAAATGAACTGTGAATGAAGGCACAGGCCAGGCGCAGGTGTTGAAGGGCTGAATACAGACTGGAGAGACGCAGGGTCATCCTCGTTCGAAAGCTCACTGGGTAATCCTGGAGCAGTCACCTGTTCCTTCTAAGCTGCTTCATCTCTGCTTGTACGGATAAAAGGAGGGGTGGGGGTGCTTCCGTTTGTGCTGTCCTGAGCGCCCGGCTGCATGAGGAGCAGGCATTTCTGCCTTTCCTGCTGACTGGTCCTGCTGTGCAGTGAGAGGAAATCCCCTCATCGGTTCAGGGCCGGGGATGGCTTCCCAGCACATTTTGTCATGGGCAACTAGTCTCCACCACTTGCATGCCGTTTCTGCAGTTACTTCATCTGCTGCAAAGGAACAGGATGTAAGTGATTCTCTTCTGCTGTAGCACTTGAAGTTTTCGGTTGCTGCAA